AGAACTTACTGATAATTATAGAAAAGAATAATATATTCCCAAGTTCGTGAGGTTGAATATTTTTTTACAAATTACCTACACGTATTTCTTTTAGCTCAATGTCAAAAAATATAGTGCACGAATATTTCAATCGCAAATACACTGAATGGACTATTATAGGGTTCTTGGAAGAATGCAACATTAAATCATTCCGTGATAATATTGGTATTTATCTCACTTCTCTCGAAACCATCATTAAAACTGAAAATGGCAGAAGGCGCGAAAGAGCACAACAGTTATACAAACAGTATAAAGAGGCAAGTTTAAGAATCTTTTGATTAAGAATATAGATAAGGAATTGTGGCGTGGCAGGGACCTCTAAGCTCTTTGTCATTCAAGTCTCCAAGTCGAGCCATGAAGCCAGTGCTAGGGCACGGATAACCTCAAAGCTTATCTGATGTTCAAGCCTCTATGCCGACCTAGCACTGGTCCCACTTAAGCACAAATAACCTCTAAGCTTATCTGAAGTCTTGGGTGGGATAAGAAATTCGGATAAACAATGGAGATGTGTTGATTGGGGATATTACTAATTTTCCGGTTTTTCATTGCTAGGGTTCTCGACCCGATCGCACATTGGCACGGAAATGGGAGTCCATAAACAAGTTCATTTCCATCAGCCGACTTTTTTGGACTATGGGTCTGTACATGGTTCTATACACGGGACTGTCAACGGGACTATAACTGGTGGATCATTCATTGTTGGATCAAAAAGAGAATATGAAGAGGTATATATGCGCATTTTTTTAGTTAGAAGTTGAGAATCAGTAAGAACTATAATATAAATATAAATATTTTAGGATGATTTTGAATATCGAATCGAGCCAAATCAAATAAAACGTACGAGATCGGAGCGCCAACGAACTCCTGAAGATCAGATACGTCCGTCTTTCTTTCCTTTAAGAGTTGAGGTATTTATTGTTATGTTAATTATCATGAAATTTTTTTAAGTTGACTTGATAATCTTTTTGATGTGCGTATAGCAACATGCAACAGCCACATTATTGAATCAAATTAATACCATACAGGAATTATGGGCACGACAACAATCACA